TAAATAGAAATTAGTTATTAATTTCATTTAATCATAAACATGATGAAAATAATAACACTTACAATAAACGCCACGTCGCAAAAATTCGGGAATTAAAGGATTAAAAACTGAATTGAAGAGCGCGATTATTTTATCAAAATTCATATTATTACTATGAATTTGTAAATTTATACTAGATCTTGAATCAACCATCCTCTTTCTTATATTATCAGAGATATACATCAAACTTAAAATATCGATATGGATTCTTTAAAAATTTACCCCTTTAATTTTGTTCTCTCTACACCCACCCACCTTTACACTAAAAATAGTTCTTATAAATCTGATTATGGAAATCATTGACTGTTGATAATACTGTATTTGACAATGAATTGCTGTCATCGTTGTGAGGCTTAGCCTAATTTCGAACGCGTAAGAAATTCTTGTAGATATATCTTCCTTACACTTGCCTAATTTCGACTCTTTCAGTGTTCTATGACCAGATAGAAAGATAAATACGGAAGGAGCATAACGTAAAATCTATAAATATAGATATATACAGTCAACTCCTTCTAAGTGCACTCCCTCTGAGTGCAGGTCTTGTTAAAAATTCTCCAAGATTATTTAGTCCACGTACATATAGTCATATGTATTTTAATCTCTTAAATGCAGATTTTTGTCATTCTTTACATATGGTCCCGTCACGCTGCACTTAGAGATCTTGAGAAATGAGAATAGAAAATCTATTGCATTTATGTTTAAATTACAAATATGTTGTGGATGCTCACGAGAAACAGATGATCAAATGAGCAAACCGAATTTCCCGATCTTGGAATTAATTTTAAATAGCCTCCAATAAGCACTATTTAATACTCCATGAATTTCTTGAAAAACCTTTGAGACCTCGAATGATACAGTATTATATTATATATGTGTTTATTATATATGTGTTGATTATTTCTGAAAAATGATGATTCATTCATCAAGTTATTAGAGCTCTCAGAGACAGAGTATAAATAGATATGTTTGATTATTCGAGGTATATACTCGTTCCATCTCCTCGTTGAAGGAATGGTTCTCGCTGTTTTATAATTTCTCAGATTCCTCTTCATTCCGTTCACTCATCATTTTATTTAAAGAGTGATACTATTTAAAAAAAATTAGTAATGAGGGCGTAAAATAATCATTTCAAAATTGAACTAATTAAAATTCTGTTTGATGACATACCTTCTTTATCTTCCTCAACATAATCAATATCATCATCAGCACTTAAAGCTAATACCTCATCGGACGGCACCTCCACAGCGAATCCTTTAAACAAAGTGGAATACTCATGCTTAACTCTCCCTCCACCGGAAGTTAAGAAATCCTTAACGTTATTAACCTTTGCATCTGTTGCCTCTTTTTTAAAGACAACAATATATGTCTTATAGTCTTGTTTAATAACACAATCGGTTAGTATGTATTGTTAAAAACCCCTCAAAATACAAACTCATCCCAAGGCTATACCTAATTACCTTTCTCAGGTTCGGCTGAACTTTCCGCCATTGCTACTAAATAATATATGGAAAGCACAAAAACTGTTATATATAAAAAGAATTTTTGAGGTGTCATGGTCAAAAATAGTCGAAAGGATAATCAATAACTATATCATGATACCTTCCTTTTATATACTAATCTCTCATGATCGACGAAGAGATTTGCATGACGGTATTGCCATGCAACGATTGGTTTTATTGGTATCGATGTGGTATCACATGTGGAAATTAAAAATCTGCGAGCAAATTTCTATTCCCCGACTCCGCTTTCTCTTCACAAACTTCATCTTAAACGATCGTTTCTAGTTCTCGTAAGGCACAATGGAAAAAATTAAGGAGGTTAGAAGATTCACTAAAAGCATTGCTTATTCAATTTGCATATATACCTATGACATACATATGCTTCAAGGAAATTAAAGTTTTTAATGCTGTTAACTGCCAGCGAATACTCGATGAAAAAATTCGTTATCTTTGTTACAACGCACCTTGAACAGCTATTGCATCGAATCTTATTTTGATTTTAGCATTAAAACGCTGTTAACTTATAGGATAAAATCTAGATATAATTATTTTCAAAAAAAATTAAATATATGTATGTCTCGTAATTTTAGAAAATGAATAGTCTGCGTACCGAAGTCGAGGAAGCTCGCCAGGAAGCAGATCAATTAAAAGCCGAGAATAAAGTGCTTAACGATACATTGTCGGCGAAAGAACAAGAAAATTCCGCCCTTCAGAACAAGGTATCCACTCTTGAGAGTGATTTGGATGCAGCCGAAAAATCTTTAAGGGAAACAACAGACAAGTATGTTGCAGTAATTATTTTTATCCTTTGATTTTTCGAAAAAAAAAAAATTTAAAATATTTTTTTAAGACTCCGTGCCCTCGAGCTCGAAAAAGAGCATACGGAACGAAAATTGACAAATAGTGAGACTCTACGTGTCGAGTTAGAGAAGAAACTCGAGGATCTTAAAGAAGAAAATCAGAAATCTAAGCAAGAACTGGAAGAAGCCATGGCCGCTCTAGAGGGTTTGTAGCGTGTATACATCGTCATGTGGATTTTTGGGACGTGGCGTTTATTGTAAGTGTTATTATTTTCATCATGTTTATGATTAAATGAAATTAATAACTAATTTCTATTTA